TGGTCGGAATAAGGATGAAATAAATAATTGCCTAAATAATTAAAATTGATAATTTCCTTTTTGTAAAGACGAGACATAATATTGAGCTACCTCAAATTATTCTTTTGAAAACTGTTCTTAGATTTTCACATTTGATAACATAAGATAATAATTGCACTGTTATTTCCATAGCACAGGAAGCCCATGACTTGTATGGAAATGTTGCTTTCATTTAAAGGCGTGAGATACAAAGAGAACAGAGTGTTGATTGGATAAAGTGAGCAAATAACTAAAGGCATGCATGGGATTAACTAATACCTAAGGTTTCCATATCGAATACGTACGATAACAGTATATATTTTGAATTATAAATCATTTATTTATTTCCGAAATACGTACACGTATGAGTCATACGTGTAATTTGAAGTTGACGAAATCCAGTACAAAATCTTGTATTTCTGTCATACATGAAAATGATTAAATTCGAGCTTGCTACTCGATCCTACTCCATGCACTTTTAGGAAAGCCCGGGGGGTGGGGGGGTTCTCCCCTATATTCGCTATACGGGGACGTGCCGCCAACCAGGATATAGTTTTCAGCGATTTCACTCTGGAACAGGATCAGGGTTTTGTTGTCCCAGCGGCACACCCGCACCCATGTTTAGGGGGGACCCCCCGGGAAGGAAAGCTGCAATTACAGTGATTTTAATTTAGTAGGATTTCATTTCGAAGGAAATTGGGAGTGCTACGATGTTGATGCGAGTGCAATGATGAGTATTGAAAAAACAGTCAACGTCAGTTTAGCTGTTTTGAATGCTATCCTATAAATCTTCAACAAGGGTAAAATGAGATGATTTTTTCCTTGAGGATAAACATCTATCTGAAGATCTTCCATTCATTTTTAAAGGACATCGAAGTTGACGTACAAAGCTTCTTCAAACACGTCAAGGTTGATATAATCCTGCGGAACAAAAAGTGAAAATCGTTAAATTTCGAGTCGCATTGATTTTTGCGAGGGGTTTAACTAAAGTTTTTTATTGAAATAAAGATAAAGCTGACAGCTTTATTGAGATAAAACTGAGAGTTAGTTGTTTGACACGAATTGCTAAAATTTACACTCAGTGATTTTATATCAACGCAACTTGTTTAATTAAGGAAAGCACACCTTGGTTGTGTTACAGTATTGTTTGAACTCATCGCATATCATGGTAAAGGAAGGTCTGTCTTCGGGTTTATCTTGCCAGCATCTTAACATCAATGAGTACCTTAAAAAATATGAAGAGAGTATGACAAAAATGTGTAAATTGTTAGCTGACTATTGAAATTCATGGCTTGTGAATCTTATAATTGTGGCACATGATTATGCTAGATATGGATGATTTGATAAGTGACTTTCATGGCCCATGAATGAGACCGTTGCCTGTCTGTCACCAACAACTACGATCCCAAGCCAACTCATTGCTTCCTCTATTGGCTGAGAACTAATATATCAAAGCATTGGGCAGTTCATGGCACATGGGACCTATATTTACACTAATTTAATTCAATCATGTAAAAAGGATTGATGTCATCATATAAAATTTTCATCTTGACTGATTTCTTTAGAAAAAAAGTCTCTCCTTTGA